ACTTAACAGGAAGTGAAATAGAGAGGTTAAGTTTCACATAAAATTCTTACGTCCATGAACTCTCACGTACAAAATTAAAAAAATCACGTAAAATTTGAAGTGTTTTACGTGAGTTGACTGTCCAGTTTGTAACTTGGGTTTCTGGAAGTTTCGCTTGGTCCTTCCCGATCAAATTTGTGTGAGTTTCCGTAGTTTTATCGAGTTTGTAGGAAGATTTGATATTTGTGTCAACTCAAACCGAATCCTGCCCCCTAAACAGTCACGTCATGTCGCACTTGTATCTCTTCAAACCTCTAAAATTTACACGTGACGTGCGATTTTCACCGCCTTTTGAAAAAAGGAAAAAAAGTGTAACTAATTACTTAGAATGCCTAGGCGAAGGTACTCATGTACTTCTAAGATATTTAAAAACGACCTGACTCCTATGTGCAGCTCTAACACATCTCCGGTGCTCGTCCGATATTGTACAATTCGTTTTCGCAAAGATTCCCCTTCTGTGTTGATCTTTGTTATTTCACGTATTCAAAGGTTTTTGCGTGTATTGGAGTCTATCCACATCTTTACCACCAAAATGATCTTGTGAAGGCAGAAAAATAATTTGTAAATTTGTTTACATTGAAATAATAATTGTTTGTGAATTTGGATCAGTAGTTCTCACTTCTTTTTTGACTGCATGGTTACTTTCTGGTTGTGAATTTATCTCGTTTATTGCCTACTGATATCGTTGATTGTTATAATTCCTACTTTTCTTTATACATACTAGTAGTAGTAATGTTCTTTCAATCAAATGAACCCCTCGATAGGCATATTGCCTTTGGGTTATTTCATAGTAATAAAAAAAAAAAACAGGCAGGCACAGTGGGTTGGTCAAAGACCATGATTGAGATACGAGAGGTACCTGGTTCAAGTCCTGCCTGGGAGCGGTTTTTCCAGCCGTGCTGCTACCCACAGTCAACTGGGAACTTGTGGCCAGGCACAAGGGGTACATGGATGCAGCTAATGGGGTCGCTTTCGGCACTTGTGCCAGTGGTTGTGAGACTTACCCACTCACCCCCACCGTTAGGCGCTGCATCTGCCGCTAGGGTTTATCGGGTGTTAGCGGCCGTCGTGAGTTCCCTTCGGGAACGGATACGATAATTTACTTTTTTATAGTAATAAAAATAATAATTTTCTTTTAGCTCTCATTGCTCGCTCTAAATCCGGTCTAAGTTACTACTTGCATTGTGCGTATTTATATTGAGTTTTAATTTGCCAGTAATCCTTCTGAAGAGATGGCCACGAAAACGTTCAAGGAACAAGTTATTATGCATGAAAACAAGTTTTGCTAATGGTGTTGGCACTGAGTGCGCAGCTTACTCTATTTATTGTGTTAATACTAACACTGAAGTAAAAATAATTAACTCGGATGGTGAGGCAATTAAATTATGGTGAAACAAGGAGGACAAAATGTTACGAGTTATATCAGGTCGCCGAATGTCTCAGTACTCCTTGTCAGTTTTGTTCCATTTTGCCGCACTCGCTGATTGTATAAGATCTAGTTACATTGGTGGACAGTTACCCGTTACCCGTAACATGTTGTCCATTCAGAAAAAAATGAACTTCTAGCTTTTGGCCATAAATGGGTCAAACGTTGAGTTTTTTTAGAATTTTTTTTCTGGAATCCTCTATGGAATCCTCTTCCAATTATGTTTCTGAAGTTTTTTTCTCCAAAAAGCAAGCCATAACAAGAATGGGATTTGGGCCAGGTTTTGCCCCCAAAGCATTGAATTGGGAAAAACCAAAAAAATCCAGGCCGTTTGACCCCGTCTGCAACAGTGCATTGTGTGGTTCGAACCCCAGTTCAGGTACCCTTTTTGGACCCTTTTTGAAATTTCAAATTTCGCAGCACTGCACTGTGTACGATGAAATCACGAAAAATCGCCAAATACGGGAGCTCGCCAGAGCCAGAGCCCATCTTTTTATGAATGGACTGTAGTCACCCAAATAATAATTAAAGCAATAAATAGAGTAAACTGCGCACTCAGTACAAACACCATTAGCAAAATCATCATAATAATAATAATTATAATAATAATAATCCGGTCACAATAAGGCACTTGTGGAAAGTAACCCAACGTTTTCGGTCCCTTCTCATCAAGGATTATACACGGATATGTTGGGATACTTTTGACAAGTGCCTTATTGTGACTGGATTTGTATTTGCATGGATACTTGCTACCCCAAACTTACCGTCGTTTTTAAAGTATTACCCGCCTCCGACCTCTTTAAAAAAAAATAATAATAAAGCCTATTTCCATTTATAAAAGCATGTTCCTTGAACATCTTCCTGGTATCTCATCAGAAAGATTTCTGGCAAATCAAAACTAATTCAAAACTCAAAATACATACGCACAATGCAAGTGGTAATTTAGACCCTGTCTAGCACGAGCAATTTTTATAATATTACATTTCACGGTTCGTGTGAGACTCGGCTGGAAGCCCAGTTTTCCGCATCCGTCGTGGGAACGCCACCACCCTCTAGGATCAAAGGCGCAGATGCAGCGCCTAAACGGTGGGAGGTGAGTATCTCAGACCCACCACCAAGTGGTCAAAGACCGAAATCCCATTAGCTGCATCCATGTTACCCTCGTGCCAGGCCACAAGTTCCCAAATTACTACTGTTTTTCCCTCAAACCAGTGAATAATAATTATTATTATTATTATTGACTGGCTTGAGGGAAAGACACAAACGAGAAAAGTCTGAAGAAAAAATTGACTGTCACTACCAGGACTCGAACCAGGGACCCTTGTTTGTAGCGAGCGATGCTCTAACCACTGAGCTATGTGGTAGTCGTCATCCCAGCAGAGGCCGTTCAACATTTTCTTCAGACTTCGTAACTCACACTTCCCGTGAATGCACACAGGCCGGTGGGACGCAGCCCTCACTATAACCCTCACACTTCACGTCCAAACTAGCATGCGGGGAGCCCCAAGTCATATAATATAAAACTGGTTTGAGGGAAAGACACCAACGGGAACATTCTGAAGAAAAAAATTGCCTTTTACCACCAGGAAAATACTACTAATATTAGAGAGGTTCTGCAAAACGAAAATTCGAACGAAGTTTCGCGACAGTCCTTGCGAAAATGTGTACGAATTTTTGCACGAACTTTGCGTTCTGCACATTTTCGTAGTTTGCGCGGGCCAAGTGCATGTACGCCATGACCCGATCTCAGGAAATTTCCTACGACAGTTCATTTCGCGTTCCCCGCAAGTTTCGCGTCCAAAGTTGCGAAAGTTCGTGCGAAGTTTCGCACTTCATGATGTAGAGCGAAAGTTCGTACGCATTTTCGTTTTGCAGAACCTCTCTAATAACGTCTACGGCACTTCACTTCTCTACTTCAAACTCCAAAAACACTGCGATTTCAAATTAAAATTTACAATCCACCAAATTGTAGTTCAAGTAGGGCCTGCCCCATCATGAGGGTTATGATGTGTAAGTGGGTGCGTTGGAGTTAGCGGACAATTAGAAACATACAACTTACTTGCTGATAAGTTTATTGAACAGATTGCCCTCGTAGCTCGGATGTGGTATTATCGTTTCTCTCCTTTCCCACAACCTTAAATATTCTCTCGCATCATCAACGTATGCTTGAACAGGGGGAGCACAAATATGAGTAGAGCAAAGGTGCGCGAAACCTTGGGTGTTCGGTGAAAAACGGAGGACGAGATGCACGGCGAGATTTATGAAATGGTGGTTCCAGAAGTCGGAACAATTAATTCGGGCATCGGGGTCGTAAGCCAGGCACTGACAGATAATATCACTTACATCTGGGATGGGAAAAAAGACATACTAACTAATCGTATCGGAAATAGATGTATATGAACAATTTATACTATTTTCCAAACGAAAATCCGGTGCAACAAAAAGTCTAACAAAAAGTCTATACTTTGTTTCCGTTGTATCTATCTTTATAGGGCGTAAGTAGGCACTCAGTTAGATCTTCATTCTCCTGTTCACTATGCTGCTTTTATGACTATGTGACCACCGCTCAACATCACTGTGTCATAATGTCAATTCCCCCACCTCGGCTACTATTCTAGGTATGCTTCGTGCATCGTAACTGGGCTTTGCTGTCAGGAGCTTCGATCAGCGTAACCATGGTTACCACGTGTACAAGTGAGAAAGATATGTCAGATGCATACACATGTATAACATACACTCAGTCTGCGAACAGAACTGTTTCGTCCTTTGTGGACTCATCACCGCAGCACAGAGAAATTGAGGCCGAACCTGATAGTGAGGAAAAATAGTTTTTCCAAAGCCAGATTTAAGCCAGGCTCGAATGTACCCACCATATTTCTAAAACTGACAATTCAGTGAGCTCTGCATAACGCAAACAGCAAAGGCACCACCCCACATACATGTATATTGACTGGGGGAAGACAGCATTGTACTTTTTTAAATCTGCTCCTGCCAATGCTGAAGCTGCATACTAACCATGCTGTAAGTGAGGTGATGGGATGGATATTGCTGCATTTGGTTTTGTATTCATCCAGCTGCCCTGCGGCCAAGGAATTTACATATGTACGCCCCACAATAGAATATGGCACCCAAGTCTGGAGCCTCACCCTAACTACTGCACAGCTAGCTATGTTTGATGTCCTGCAGGCTAAGGTGTGTAGACGGTTACTAAGGTCAGCCAAGATAGAATTTGACAACAAAAAAAATTTCACGGTTCGCGTGAGACTCGGCTGGAAGCCGGGTTTTCCGCATCCGTAGGAACGCCACCACCCTTCAAGGATCAAGGCGCAGATGCAGCTCCTAAAGCGGTGGGAGGTGAGTAGATCAGCTTACCAGCAAGTGGTCAAAGACCGAAAATCCCATTCACTGCATCCATGTTTTCCTCGTGCCAGGCCACGAGTTCCCAATTAACTGTGGGTCGCAGCACGGCTGGAAAAAATCCTTCCGCTTCCAAGCAGGACTTAAACCTGGTACCCTCTGTTTCTCAATCATGGTCTTAGACCATCCCACTATGCCTGCCTGAATTTGACAGATATGAATCAAAAGATAGTTTAAATAGTATGTGTACCTCTAGGGTTGCATTTGTTCGGTCATTCCCGAATGGGCATGGATTGACGTTGGTACCCATCGCGGAATTGGAATGAGCGTATCAAACAAACGGACAGAACTGTCTAGTGACAAGGAAGCGAATGATGAGCATCAAAATCACTATGCATCAAAACATCTGAGGGCAAAATGAGACAGACTACAAGCAGGGTTTCCTCGGAATGGTTTTTTTTTTAGTAGCGGTATTAACTGTTGTTTGCAGCCTCGCGAAGACTACTGCATGCCAGTCCTGGTAGTTCCTATTTTCTGCCGTACGTTTCTGCATGTCTCGACGACAGTCATGATGAAGGAGCGGCCAAACACGGCGTAGATCAACGAGCGCCCGTAATTAGGGTGTCTGCAGGCGTCGTTTGGCCGCTGCTTCATCATGCTATTCGACCTCGTATCAGTCACAGAAACGTCTCTAGCTCTTGTGTTTATTTGACAGAGACGAGGCACCGTTGTAAGTAGAAGTGAGGTGGCAGGCTCGGTGCCTCTTTTGGTCTTGGGTCTTTGGCTCGAAAAATAGTTCCGGCTTGTCTCCCTGTGGTTCTAGAGGCCCACGACGATGAAGAGCTGAGGTGCGAGGGTATATTTCCAGTTCAACAACGATCCCGGGCGAACACTTTCTCAGGGAGCGAAGGGTCAAAATACCACCAACAAGTAACTATGCTGAGGTTATACAGTACCAGCCTCTACCCTGGACGATGTCCGACAACATACTATATCGATAATCGCGTTTGAAGCTTTGTTGGACAGGTACTTGTAGAGTCTACGAAGCAGCGACGAAGCCCCTCCGTGCATTTTCATTCCGCTCGGAATAAGACCTCATTCCACTTTTTCTCAGGCTGCGTTTACACGACAACGATTGAAAACGATTTTCGTTTACACGACAACGAAGTACGACCTAAACTGAACGAAATCGTAGCGTTTACTAAGATTGTTGACACGACAACGCCCGAAAACGATACCTTAACGGAACGAAATGGAAACGCACTACAAAACGTTTTCAAAACGTTTTCGTTCTCGTGTAAACAGTGAAAACGATTGGAAACGGAGCGCGGTCATGGAAACCATTTCGCGCGGGGCCGTTTCACGGGAAATATCTAACCCTTGCGACCACCAGCACGTACCGACTCCAACAAACGTGTCACTTCCCGCCATTGCGGCAAGCCAGCAAGTGCTAACTCCAGCCTGTTTGCCCGTTTTTCGTTTTCGTCTAAACGGTTTAAAACGATCAGCCGTTATCGTGTAAACGGTTTGAAAACGATTCGAGGCCAGCCAGTTTTCGTTCCGTTTTTGTTTCGTTTCGTTTCGTTTCGTCTCCGTGTATACGCAGCCTCAGGAATCGCCAGAAATATGTTCAAGCTAGGTAGGTATCAGGACGTCGAATTTCTCAGTACTCTGTCAGTTTTGTGCCTAGTTGTTGCACTTCCTGATTGTATATTATAGTATCTGGTTACAGTACCGGTATCGTAAAGACTAAGTAATGTTACTTGCTACAAAAGCCTTTTTTATTTCTGCTCGACACGAAATGATTTAGAAAATCTGAGCTGTTCTTCTCGCGATTAGAGATTGATGAAAACTCAATCCTGCAAGCTGTTTCATCAGCCGTTATGGATCTCCTTGCTCCGATCAATGATCGTCTAGGTGCTTTGGAAGCTGTCCTGATGGAGAGTTACTCTTAACTCGTATCCATAATGTCCTTTTCCTTTCTACGTATATTATTGGCTCAACACCCGAGTTTCAAATTTAAAGTGCAGTTCATAAAAAAAAGAAGGAGCGAAAACTTACGGTCTGAAAGGCCTAGGAGACTGATATTATCCTCAGGCGACTCCATTCGTGTCTGCAGGTTTTCGGCGTTCAGCGGAATTAACGGCGGAAGATTGTATGGCTCTTCGCCATTCTTGAAATACCGGTACATCAGCCGCCCTCTGTACGAGAAAGAGCGCGCATTACATTGGCAAGGACGATAATTATTAGGCGGGGATTATTCGTACTGTTGTTAAGGCGAGAGCACCTGCAGTCCTAATAGTACATAATCTCGGGGACTGGACAAATAACGTTAATATGTGTAAACTGATCCCATTTCCCTGAAAAATAGAATTGGCTAATTCATATCGAGTGCTACATCTGTAGAAAGAGCATGGATAGCTGCAAAATCTCTTAACATTTTGACCCGATCTGACCAGCCGTTCTAGAGTTAGGGCCGAAAATGTGACCTTGCAAGGAAAGATTTTTTTGTTGCACGCAGTCATTTTGTGGCAGCACTGTACATGTAATTGAATCTGAGCAAACCATGTCCAAAGATCACGTTTTTAGCCATGTATTGGGTTGCACGGCGGGAATTTTGCCGGTACCCTCGTGGCGTTGCAGATATGCGGCCTGATTCTTGTAGTTGACGTTGATTTAGTGACTTTGGCAAGTTTGAATCGTGTCAAGAAGTCAGGTAGGATTCAGTACTAGGCAGTAGTGCAACGTGAGTGGAAGTCTTTGTCCAATTTTTTGAGAGTATCCTGGATTTGGCGTGCAGTGCTGTGGAAATGGCTTGCGGTGGAGGTCCCATCACTGGATGTTGTATCAAAGGTACGACCTCGTAGCACGCGCTAAACCCAACAAAATTCAAGAATTGACTTGGGTCTGTGGGAGTCTGTGAGAGAACGCCCACTCCTGCCGTTGTAACAGATTCCAGGGCCACGTTGAGGGGCCTATCCCACCACCCATGGCTTCTTCTGGACGTTTTTTTAGGTTTGGATCCCGCGCACGAGCAGAATGGGCAAGAAAATGTGAAAAATTGTAAATGCATTTGTTTTGCTCCTGGGTGGCTCGCACACCGTGGCACTTTGGCGGAATTTGGAGTTTTTCCGGCCTGGAAAGCCTGTCTGTAAGGCGCAAGAACTTTTAAATCATGTCCCGAGGGCCAGGATCTTGGCAGCAGTGTGTGGTGAAAATTCACAAAAATTTCAAAATTTCACTCAAATCCATTGAGAGACACCAAAGTTACGGTCAATTGAAAGCCATAATTATGAAATTAGGCTGCCACCTTAAGGTGGCAGACTACCCAAAAATTCGCTGAAAAATCGAATTTGTAAATTCATATTCAGTGCTACGTCAGTTGAAAGAGTGTGAATAGCTGCAAATTCTCTGAAAATTGTGTCCCGATCTGACCGGCCGTTCAAGAGTTATGGCCGAAAATGTGCCCTTGCAAGGAAAGATTTTTTTGTTGCACGCTGTCATTTGTTGGCAGCACTGTATTTGAATGTGAGCAGACCGTGCGCAACTTGTCGTATCATGGAAACGCGTGAAAGTGTGCAGAATTTTGCTCTAAGTCCAAAAAATCAGGTTTTTGAGCCACGTATTGGGCTGCACGGCGGCGGGCAAAGCCCGCCGCCGTGCAGCAGGACTTTTGCCAGCACCCTCGTGACGTTGCAGATTATGTGGCTTGATTATTGTAGTTGACGTTGATTTAGTGACTTTGGCAAGTTTGAGTCGTGTCAAGAAGTCAGGTAGGCCAGTACTAGGCAGTAGTGAAACGTGAGTGGTAGTCTTTGCCGGTTTCTGAGGGTATCCTGGATTTGGTGTGCAGCGCTGTGGAAATGGATTGCTGTGGAGGTCCCATCACTGGATGTTGTATCAAAGAAACGACCTCGTAGCACGTGCTAAACCTAAAAAAATTCAAAAATTGACTTGGGTCTGTGGGAGTGTGTGAGAGAACGCCCACTCGTTCCGTTGTGACAGATTCCAGGGCCTCGTTGAGGGGCCCTACCCCATCACCCATGGCTGCTTCTGGACTTGTACTAGGTTTGAGTCCCGCGCACGAACAGAAGGAGTGTAGTATCCCTGCCCGACCAATACGGAAGCAGTACGGAACTAATGCGGAGCTTTGCCTGATGTATATTTAGTGTATCTCCGTATGTAAGCGTACGGCGTCTGCTGCATAAAAGCGGCTGCGCATTTCTGTTTCGATGAGAAGGTGAGAGATTTTGATAATAACGAGCTATTCAACCTCCAGGTGTGCACCGGAGAGAAAGTCAGTTATTTTGCCGCTTCTTCTTTCACTAATAATTATATTTCAGGTGTGTACCTGAAAGAAGTAGAATAAAAGTAATTCTTGTTAATTGCACCGCGCCTACCACTCGGCTACCTGTTACAGGAGCACGAAAATGTAAAAAAATTGTAAATGCATTTGTTTGGCTCCTGGGTGGCTCGCACACCGTGCCACTATGCCGGAAATTTGAGTTTTTCCGGCCTGGAAAGCCTGTCAGTGAGGCGCAAGAACTTGTAAATCATGTCCTGAGAGCCAGCATAGTGGCATGAGTGTGTGGTCAAAATTGCACTCAAATCCATTGAGAAACACCAAAGTTACGGTCAATTGAATGCCATATGAAATTTATGGGTAGGCTGCCCCCTTAAACGACAACTCCGCCGTGCAAGGAAAAGAGTTCGTATTAGCCAGGTGGTCTTTAGAACCAGGTATGTCCCACAGTGTCTGTGTACGTGTGGAACTGTCCGTGCATGGAAAAACGGTCGTTAAGAGCCGGTGGTCGCTAAACACAGAGGTCGCTTACACCAGGTTTTACCGTTCAATTTCAACATACATTTTTCCCGCACCCATCTCGGGAACTATACAGAAGTGGAAGTGGAGGTTTCCTTACAGAAGGTGTTTCTCAGTGCACGCATCGGGACACATATCGTGTATAATTAACATTATTGTTATTAAGTAGTGGTTGCGACTTCGGCGATAATTTGTAAGAAAGGGTTTGCTCCCCACACCGGAGCTCGCGCTATTCCGCCGACTTTACTTGACACTTGACTGACTCACGACTGCCATCCAGAGTACACGAGAGGTCCATCGAACCTTCAGGAGCGACACTGACTCACGCTGCTATCTGGTGTTCACGAAGTGTTTGTCGCGCTGAAAACGGAGCGTCCCTGTAAGTTTGTATCCCTGGTGATGTTTGTGCCTGGAGAGCACTATATAAGTAGTGCTCTTCAGGCACAATCTTCCTCAGCCTACTCAAGCTCAACTGATGAGGGGTGAATTCCCCGAAAAACTGTGTTTTGAGCAGGGAGTGGTGCTTTCTTGCAGGTTTTCCGAGTCGAAGGTTCGATGGACCTCTCGTGTGCTCTGGATGGCAGTCGTGAGTCAGTCAAGTGTCAAGTAAAGTCGGCGGAATAGCGCGAGCTTCGGTGTGGGGAGCAAACCCTTTCTTACAAATTATTATTAATTCAACATCTCCTGGCTCGTCAGAAGACTGCCAATATATATATGAGAAGTCGGGTGGTAGCCAACCACGGCGAACTGAAAAATAAGGAGAGAAACAAAGAGAGTACTGCAAGGGGAGGCATGACGAAAATTGCCAGACTGTGTTGTACAGCGCACGCCAACAGCGTCTGCAAACTACTTGATGGTGCGTGTAGTATTAATTACAGTGAAACCTGTCTAAGACGACAACTCAAGGGACATTCAAAATGTGGTCTCCATGGCCAGGTGGTCTCCTTATCCAGGGTCATTAGACCGGAAATAGCATCCCTTGGTCCTAGTAACAGTGGTCCTCTGGGACAGGTGGTCGCCTTATCCGAGTGGTCGCCTTGACAGGTTTCACTGTACTCTGACTTGATTCTTTACACCTTACTAAGGGCGCGTTGGAATTGTCTTCATCAACGGTTCCAACACAGTTTTTTAACAGGATAGTTGGAGTGTCCCATCAGAACGGTTTCTATCATTTAGGAGGTTTTCAGTGGAATTGTCATGGCGATGATGACGTCCGATCAGATCGACCATCTCCACGTACTATGTGGTCTGGCCATTCCAAACTCTTCGGAGCTAACCCACCTCTCCCATCGAATAAGGTTGTGGAGTTTCGAGGGGCTTCTTTTCCTGAAGAGGCCAATCAGGCCACCATTTCAGAAAAAAACGAAACTCCTCGAAACGTCAAAGAGTGACAATTAGAACGCGCCCAAAGAGTCCCTGAACAACATTGCGCAGCGGTAGAACTCAAGGAGCATGAAGACTAACAAGAATGAATGATAAGAATCGAACCATAAAAATAAAAAACCTCAAAATCTAAGTATCAGCAGATTTCTTTAAAATGGATGCTTTGCAGCTCATGGCAAAGTTCTCTGAGTGGAACCTACAAATGATTGTGTACATCTACATGCACATCGTATGCATCGTACAGCTAACTCACCACGCTGCACTTGCTGCCTACAAGATTGGGCTTGCCTCGGGAGCAAGCGCAGTGCAGGCGGACAATACTCCTCACGCGCAGCTTGAACAACCATACCCGTTTCTTTGCAGCCCCTGTATCGGGCAAATGTTAAACATTAAAGAGTATAGTGATGACCACTAACGCTGCGCTCTTCGTAGTTATCTAGCCATTCCTGAGCTATCGGCGCAGTCCACAGTTTCCTGTACTCGGAATGCCGTCAATCGCCGGCTGTGGATCACTCGACCCTCGATACCCCTTGGTGCTGCTGTGATCCCTGCCACCAAGGAAACCTGTTGCTACGGCGAGTTTCTTGAGTTAGCAATCATCAGGCAACATAACAAACCAATCCACTTGCAACCCCTCAAACCAGGCATGCGAGAGTGCGAAAGAAAGAAAGAGAGAGAGAGATAGATAGATAGATAGATAGATAGAGAGAGAAAGAGAGAGAGAGAGAGAGAGAGAGAGAAAGAGAGAGAGAGAGAGAGAGAGAGAGAGAGAGAGAGGGGCAAACAGCGAGCGAGACACAGAGAGAGGGAGAGAGAGGGAAATTGAGAGAGAGAAAGAGACAGCGAGCGAGACAGAGAGAGATTTGTGCTTACAAGTCAAACATATCCGCCTTCCGCCCCCTTGGGCGTCTAGGTTCGAACATGAGTTCCGGGGCTTTGCAGGGGCTAATACTGTTGTCGTGCTCCACTGTATTATGCGGAACGCAATTTCCGTAATCTACAAAACAGGGATAATAACCCACACAAGAGATGCAACAAGTTCGTTAAATGAACTATCGCTTTCACTGGTCACAACGGCTCCAGTTTTTTTTACGATTGAAGTCCTTAATTTACACCTCCGCATATCTCGCATATTCTTGACCCGTTGATTTAGCCCAATGGCTGCTTTAAGCCTTTGGCCTTTGTTTTATCATACTAGTAAATATTTGGCAGTTTCAAATTTACCAGATTTTAATCTCTAAAAAAATCTTATAAAAAAGACAAAGAACTAAGAAGTATAAGAACCTGGGGAAAAAATGGTACGCATTATGACATACATAGCAATACAGACTACCAAGGTAACGGAATAATACAGTCATAAAGTGATACATTAAGGAACGAAACTGGAAGGAGTATGCCCCACGGCCACAAAGAGTGACGAACGTTATAGGCTGACGCCAAGACAGGTAAGACACTGCGACAAACTCATGAACTATAACTCGACAATGAAAATCACCCCGTCACCGAACTTGGAGGACTGAAGGTACCGATGATATTCTACTACTGTACAAATAGCTAAACAGTTTCCTCTGAGACAAAAATGCGATAATACTCATAAAAAGGACACACTTCAGGCTCATTACAAACATCTTGAAAGTTTTTGTCTTCACAAGTATACTTTCAAGCCTTCTCATCAGGTGAAATACAGGCAAGGGAAAAGGAACAGGAACAGTGGATTAAATACAGTAAGAAGGTGGTAAAACAGCGCAAAAAGAAAGAAAGAAAGAAAGAAGATAGCTAAAGTAAACAGCGAAAATTGCAATAATGACACAAAGGTGCAAATGCGAGAAAACTCAATAAGCGCGACATGTAGTGCGACAACAAGAGACAACCACTGGACATACATGTAACTAACGAGGTTTTGACGACCTACCTAACAGCCTAAGTGTGAATTTGATTTGTTTCTGCTTGCAAAGGTTGGGTTTCCTTGTGTGGATGTATACAGCTTCCAAAACATTCAGCAATCTAGCACAGCGTACACGTGACACAATCGAAAAACAATCATCCGAATACACAGCACGACAATCAGGATGCTCAAACAAATGACTAGCAATGGACGACTCATACTTATCAGAACTAACATCAGAACAATCAGCATGTGCGGTGGACACATCCGATTTCACATGGCTAGTCGAGTGGACCCTAGCCGTTGCCTCTGTCTGTGCTTTAGTCGCTGCCATCGCCGCCGTTGCCGATCTTGTTATTCTTCTGGTTGGTGCGGTTCCTGTCACTGCCACGCACGTAGGTGTCTTGTCCGGTTGTTTTTCTGGTGGTCTAGTTAATTGTGAGGTGACGTTCCTTGGTGTTGATGCCGCTGCGTTGGACCATCTTGTACCAGGATGATTCTTTGCTGGACGTCCCCTCCGTGGTCGAGTGGATCGTGCGTGTTGTGGAATAAGGTGTAGCGGTGCGTGTTGTCGGATGCGTGCGTCCAGATGTTGAAGAGTCCTACCTACATATCGGCTCTCACATTGCCGACACTCGAAGTGATAAATCAACTTGGATAATTGGCCTGTAGGTAGGACGTCCTTCCTCACCGTGAACGCACGCACCGTGGAGTAGATGAAGCGAATATGAACATTATGGTAATTAGACTCCACGGCAGACTTAACCCGACGCTGAACCATACGTGATACTGACTCGCCCTTCCACGGTAAACATAGGTATACTGGATTAGTGGAAACCTCAGCATTCTTCTTTGGACTGGTCTCAGTTACATACTTCACAATAACAGACTCGGGGTATCCATTGAGACGAAAAAGCGCACGTAACTTCTCCAACTCCTGCTCCAACCTTGAAGACGAACAAAGGCGACGTGCACGATCCACCAAATTACGCAACAAATTGATCTTATACAGTGTCGCGCAAAACGAATCCCAAACAATGTACAAGCCAGTGAACGTAGGCTTGCGATAGACCGACGTGACAACACCACCATCAATTGACTTCTCAACGAGCACATCAAGAAAAGGTAGACGATCTGACTCCTCAAATTCACACGTGAAATCCAACATACCATCAACAACCTTCCTCAGCAGATCACGAAATTGGAGGCACTGAGCCTCAGACTGAAAATACGAGAAAGAATCATCGACAAATCTCACATACAATGGGGGCATCAAACTAACCGGAATCTGACATTCGTAATAACCAACAAATATATTTGCCAAAACAGGACCAAGGGGCGAACCCATAGCAACACCATCAATCTGTCGATACATGACACCATCAAAGGAAAACTCCACACCTGACGTTACCAAGCGGATCATTTCGCGGAACGAATCTTCACGTAACTCGCCAGGCGGACATAGTGAGCGATGATATAGCGTTTCGCAGCAAATATCAATGACTTTATCCAAAGGGACATTTGTGAACAGACTAACAACATCGTAAGAGCACATAACATAGGTATCGGGGAAGGAGTGGTCGCGCAGAATATCGACAAATTGAAAACTATCGCGAACTACATACCGACTGTATAATTCTAAAACGGGTTGCAACATTCTACACAGCCAGCGAGAAATCTTATACTGGGGAGAACCTAACATAGAAAGGATGGGCCGGACAGGACAATCCCTCTTATGAATCTTCGGTAAGCCATACATTCTAGGGCGAGCTGAACCCAAAGGCTTAAGCAGCTTAGCCTCATAGTCAATCAGTTCCTTCGACTCAACCAACCTATCAAGAAAGGCGCATAATTTATCTTCAATTATAGAGGTACGATCATGTGACTCGACGGGTCCTAACTTAACAAACTTAGAGGCATCGCAAAGAATGTGAAGGGTCTTAGCAATATATTCGGCTTTCTTCAAAATTACTACGGCTCGACCCTTGTCAGGCCTTGTGATGACTATATCTGGATTATTGCGTAACTCTTTACGAGCTTTGTAATGTTGAGGAGATATAGGGTATTGCGCCGTATCACTCCGCGCATCAAGGTAGTCAACTGCCACAGCAGAGAGCTTGGTCGCGGCAACGTCATATGACTCAGATGACTTAGGGAGGGAACCAGACAACCGATCGTGAAACAACTCAAATTGTGCATAGACCTCCTCGCGGCCAGGCTTGCAAGGTAAACCATAGTCCATACCCCGGCACAACAACTCTCTTTGTGCATCCGACAGTTCAATTCCTGCTAAATTAACAATGAACTCATCACGGCACTTGAATGAGCCAAAGCGATCTTTACGCAAAAGTTCTAACTGTCGTGAGTACCTGGCAACTAACTTGCTCCGCTGTTTACTGTCACATTCACCAATAAGACGCGAGAAACGAATATAGTCAAATGGGCTAAGAAACCCACGGACGCGAGATATAACCGAACGGTAACTTGACAACAACCTATCCCGATCCATCATCGCCATTGCTATCTCATCACGCAACAATACCTTCTCAATCTTTGCAACATCGTGCGGCTTACAGCGCTGAACCCGCTTCTGGATCCTTCTCGGGACGACACCACCATGAAGACAGTCCAACAGGAATGATAAGTTATATCTGACATTGTTGAGACGACCACGAACAGACAATACCTGGTTAAGGGACTCTACCTCTTCACTACTATGTCTCGATTTCAAATAGGTAAACAGTTTCCTCTGAGACAAAAATGCGATAATACTCATAAAAAGGACACACTTCAGGCTCATTACAAACATCTTGAAAGTTTTCGTCTTCACAAGTATACTTTCAAGCCTTCTCATCAGGTGAAATACAGGCAAGGGAAAAGGAACAGGAACAGTGGATTAAATACAGTAAGAAGGTGGTAAAACAGCGCAAAAAGAAAGAAAGAAAGAAAGAAAGAAGATAGCTAAAGTAAACAGCGAAAATTGCAATAATGACACAAAGGTGCAAATGCGAGAAAACTCAATAAGCGCGACATGTAGTGCGACAACAAGAGACAACCACTGGACATACATGTAACTAACGAGGTTTTGACGACCTACCTAACAGCCTAAGTGTGAATTTGATTTGTTTCTGCTTGCAAAGGTTGGGTTTCCTTGTGTGGATGTATACAGCTTCCAAAACATTCAGCAATCTAGCACTGCGTACACGTGACACAATCGAAAAACAATCATCCGAATACACAGCACGACAATCAGGATGCTCAAACAAATGACTAGCAATGGACGACTCATACTTATCAGAACTAACATCAGAACAATCAGCATGTGCGGTGGACACATCCGATTTCACATGGCTAGTCGAGTGGACCCTAGCCGTTGCCTCTGTCTGTGCTTTAGTCGCTGCCATCGCCGCCGTTGCCGATCTTGTTATTCTTCTGGTTGATGCGGTTCCTGTCACTGCCACGCACGTAGGTGTCTTGTCCGGTTGTTTTTCTGGTGGTCTAGTTAATTGTGAGGTGACGTTCCTTTGTGTTGATGCCGCTGCGTTGGACCATCTTGTACCAGGATGATTCTTTGCTGGACGTCCCCTCCGTGGTCGAGTGGATCGTGCGTGTTGTGGAATAAGGCTTTTCCCTTGCCTGTATTTCACCTGATGAGAAGGCTTGAAAGTATACTTGTGAAGACAAAAACTTTCAAGATGTTTGTAATGAGCCTGAAGTGTGTCCTTTTTATGAGTACAAATAGCTGGTCGTAATTTGTTTCTCATTAAACATGATCTGATCACTTAGGGTGGTTTTATTTCCTGGTAAATGATTGTTCTGGATTTCTTGGTACGTGGTCCCTCGTATTTAATGATACTCGAGGAAAGCCAGTCAAGTCACTCAAGTACCACGGGCTGGGTGGTGCGCAGCGATAATTATATCCGCGAACACTGGGCTGCGAAATCGTGCAAGGAGGAAAACTGACTAACGCGACTGGAGTACATTGAGCAGTACAGTACATGCACGATAAAGTACAAGCAGTGGAACGGGTGTTGATTGTGCTTACCAATCAGTTTAACGTTGCCTTCTGGAGTCACCATGACGTTCTTTGCACATATATCTCTGGAGGAGGAAACACAATGATTAACAAAAGGTACAACCATGAGATATCATCGCATTTGATTATGGAATTTTCATTCGCGCTATTACACCTATATGCAGGCCTGAAAACTGGGCCGCATATATTTGACAAATCTTGACAAGATTCCTTGCACCAATATAATATGCTCATCAATGTGGGGACGTAGAAACCGCTCCAATCTTAAATCAGATTCATGCACCTGGCATGAGAAGTGATTTTATATAACGCATCTCGCTGACCCCTTTTAAATGCTCCAAATCATTTCGGCGGCATGGTCTTCATAACCTGGTCATCCTGAAAGAAAACCCTGTTCCAAAACGGATGTTTTTGTGTAGAGGAAATATTTAATGAAAAGCGGAAAAGGAGTTGGCAGCTTCGGGCACAAGAGCTAGGACGCTTCCTACCGACTTGACCTAACGAAGGACAACATGTAACCAGCTACAGTGTATGAATAGTGGCCCCGTAAGGGGCTGTCCGGAAATATCGATATTTTTTCAAGACGATAATTATTTGTTCATATCTCCCCGGGCCCTGGGCCCCCTCCCTCCCCCGGGGCCCTGGTTCCCTCCCTCTCCCCTCAAAACGAACAGAAACACGTGTATGCAGGGAGTCGATATTTTTTAATGAAGTGTAATCTCCTCGCGAAACGGGACCAACAGGAACTCCAAATTCAACATACACCAAGGTTTACTTTGCCACATTCTGACTCTCTCAACCTTGCCATGGCTGTATTGTTGGGGTTGACTTCCACTCTGGCTAGATCATCAACTGCATGTTTGCACAGTGCCCGCCCAAAGTTAGAGATCGATATTTTTCAAAGGAACGAGACGAACAGGGACAAAAAAACCCTCCCCACCCCCCACCCCCCCCCCAAGCGAACGAATATCTTCTCTAAAGAATATCGATATTTGTGGACGGCGCCTAATAGAAGTGTAGCATGCAGCAGAGCCAGTGGATGCCAAACGAACGGTGATACGAAACAATCACCGCCAGACCCAAGTAGTGCAGACTCTTTGAGGAAACAATGAGCAGTCCGTCTTTTTGAAAATTCATGTTTTCATTTCTCTGTCATTCTGCCCCATTTGTCTGTGCTGCGCTGATGAGTCCACAAAGGAGGTAATCATTATTATTAATATTATAGACAACACCTCATAGCATGAAAAGAAAATCAGCCAGTACGGGAGATGTTGTTGTTAGCCAACCATGCTGAGTAAAATAATTAAAGAAGAAAAGTAATGGTCAAGACGGAGAAGCATGGGAGTAACATCTCTGAGAGCAGATTGAGTGGAACTACGTAAAGAAAGTAGAACTAGGCCACCTACCCATGTATGCCGCCCAATGCATGTATGTAGCTAAGACCGTCCGTCAACTGACCAAAGATTCTGGCTGCCTCGAATTCAGTTGGATCGCCAAAGCCTGGTGACAAATCCAGAGTAACTAGAAGCAGAGAACAGAATAAGTACAGTGGTTGTCACCTTTCACCACTGCTGTCATTCACACTTTTAGATTTGCCCCATGATGCAGTCATTTACGCTTGGCACTGCCGCCATTCTTAACTTTTAGATTTGCGCCATGCTGCAGCTATTTACACTTTGCTTTGTGAGTATATAAACCAATACTGATCCAGATTTCTCACTTACTGTTTTCTGATGATCGCTTAGCCCTCGGTCACACTACGGCAAAAATGCTGCATCAGCGTCAGAATCATGAGCTTTTCCATGGCAACTGACGCAAACGCGGCAAGTTTGAGTGTCAGACGCTGCTGCGTATGATGTGGGGAAATCGGCTGCGTTGCCGCTGATGGGAGTGACGCTTGGCGGAAAAACAGTGTCTTTCAAGTAAAATTAGTTTCAAGACAGTTGCTCGAGTTGAGGAGTCATACGATGATTCGACATTCGTCTCTTCAAGGTTTGTTTTGTTTCCTCTTTTTTCCCGAGATGAGTCCGTGGACCTACGAGGCCGATGCTGCTCTGCTCCGAACCTGGCGGAAGAGCGAGGCGTTTTCTGAGAAGAAAATAAAGTCGAGAAAGGACCAGTTGTTTGAGTGGGTCATCGGCCAACTGGAGGCTGTTGACTTGTGAGTGTTGTGTTGTCGTCAAGAGCCCCAAAAAGGACTACTAGTATGACGAAGTCAGGAGAAACACAGCTGCGATGCGGACTTTTCTTGCCTGATCCATGACACAACTGAAAATGGCTTCAAATTCGGAAAGAAACAACAACGATCGTGCACGCGTGGACCTTTCGTCTTCTTGTAATCAAAAATTAATAAAAAAATTGAAAATTTTGTCCGACAATTTTTTGTATAATAAGCAAAAGGCCGGTTTCCGTGGCGTTTCCGTGGGAATCCGTGTCAGCATTTTGGTGATTTTGTGACGTAGACAAATGCGCCAGCTGCAAGAAAAACAAAACACTGTGTGACCCCGCGTCTGCGTCAAGTGCTGCGACTTGACCCTGCGTCCAGCTTCAAACTTGCCGTAGTGTGACCGAGGCCTAAGTGCGTGAAACTCGGAGTAAAAACACTTTTTGTGTCCTCCTATTGTTTTAAGTACAGTGATAATAATGATGAAGTATCACAACGAGAACAGATAACTTACTCTACCGTGCACACAGACACAGGAGATGTGTTGCCCCACCCGCTATTACGCATTCGTCCTTGTGTCAACGTAGGCAGCAGGATACCAGTAAAAAAAGATTCTAATATGGGCCGCAGTCAGTTAAATTTATGCCTTTGGGGTTTCGAAACATTTTGAGACATGATGGAATGAAGAATTGCTTCTGTCGAGCACGTTCACGCTGTGCTTCATTCACCGACCGCGTTGTCACGAGCATCTTGTCGGCCTTCGTTCCCACACTTGTTTGGCGGTCTAGTCCAAGCAGCTAGCCACCAAAGTTACATTTTCCTGGAATACAGTAAAACCGGTAACTGAAGATCACCCCTTTGGGGCCAAAAAAATTGGTCTTTAGTGGCAGGTGGTCCTTAAGGGGGCAGCCTACCCATAAATTTCATATGGCATTCAATTGACCGTAACTTTGGTGTTTCTCAATGCATTTGAGTGAAATTTTGACCACACACTCCTGCCACTATGCTGGCCCTCAGGACATGATTTACAAGTTCTTGCGCCTCACTGACAGGCTTTCCAGGCCGGAAAAACTCAAATTTCCGGCATAGTGCCACGGTGTGCGAGCCACCCAGGAGCCAAACAAATGCATTTACAATTTTTTCACATTTTCGTGCTCATTCTGTTCGTGCGCGGGACTCAAACCTAGAACAAGTCCAGAAGCAGCCATGGGTGATGGGGTAGGGCACCTCAACGAGGCCCTGGAATCTGTCACAACGGAACGAGTGGGCGTTCTCTCACACACTCCCACTGACCCAAGTCAATTTTTGAATTTGTTTAGGTTTAGCACGTGCTACGAGGTCGTACCTTTGATACAACATCCAGTGCTGGGACCTCCACAGCAAGCCATTTCCACAGCGCTGCACACCAAATCCAGGATACCCTCAGAAACCGGCAAAGACTACCACTCACGTTTCACTACTGCCTAGTACTGAGTCCTACCTGACTTCTTGACACGACTCAAACTTGCCAAAGTCACTAAATCAACGTCAACTACAATAATCAAGCCACATATCTGCAACGTCAACTACAATAATCAAGCCACATATCTGCAACGTCACGAGGGTGCTGGCGAAGGTCCTGCTGCACGGCGCCGTGCAGCCCAATACGTGGCTCAAAAACTGATTTTTTGGACTTATGTAAGATACGACAAGTTGCGCACGGTCTGCTCACATTCAAATACAGTGCTGCCAACAAATGACAGCGTGCAACAAAAAAATCTTTCCTTGCAAGGGCACATTTTCGTCCATAACTCTTGAACGGCCGGTCAGATCGGGACACAATTTTCAGAGAATTTGCAGCTACCGTATTTCCACAAATAGTGGGCCGGTCTACTATTTTTTCAACCTCGCCCTAACCCGGCCTTATAATCGAGGACGGTCTTGTATTCGAGGACGGTCTTTTATTCTTTCAACCCAGTTTGACCCTGGTCTTCTATTTCTCGCCACACAGTTTTACCCCCGTTCTTCCATTTTCTTCTACACAGTTTGAGCACGGTCTTCTATTTTTTCCCACAGTTTGAGCACGGTCTTCCATTTTTAACACAAGAACAAAGACTCATTTAGTAGGTCCGGTCTTCTAATCGGAGACGGTCTTTTATTTTTTCAATCGCCCCCTGCCCCGGCCTTGTATACAAGGAAGGCGTTGTATACGAGGACGGCCTTATATTTGCGGAAATACGGTATTCATGCTCTTTCAACTGACGTAGCACTCAATATGAATTTACAAATTCGATTTTTCAGCGAATTTTTGGGTAGTCTGCCACCTTAATTAGAGGTTTGCACCGCACAATCATAATAATGAATGTGAGACCGTCCGCACCGGGTGAAGTGGTCTGTAGTACCAGGCTGGTCGCTAGTCACCGTGGTCTTTAGTTACAGGTTTTACCGTACATTTGTTTAGGCCGAAGACATATTTGAGCTGCCTGTGGTCCATCATTATTGTCCTGGGCATAGTTTTTAGTGGAATGGTATTGTGAAATGAAGGTTGCTTAACGGGCGGGTTTCGCGTTGTTTGTTTGTTTGTGGCGATGAAAGAGAATAAGGGGAATTGGCTTCAGGATGAGAGGCCACCTGAGAACTCCCAGGTCAAGCGTTTGTAGTTGTGCCTGCATGTACAGGTCTGGGACCTGAAACCCGAACCCTTGAGCGTTGCAATCACATCGCAAAGACCCAACACGGTATTGTACGACTACGAAAGAGCGACCGCTGGAATGCTCAGATGCATTTTGTTGCCATTTCATCGCACTATATAGGGAAGCGTCGCCAGTGAGCATCGCTTCCAATGTGCACATCACGCATGATTATGGGTGGGTGATCATGTACTCTTCGTGTGATGTTGGCGTGAGGAAGACCTTGGGAGGTATCGGCAATAGTGACGAGACTTCAGAAATAGAAAGACACTGCAATTGCACATAAACTGATAACGTTATATTGGATTTCAAAACCTGCTTACCGCCCTCTACCAGCTCCCGGATAACACACCACCCCCATGCTGTGACTATGGATGCAAAATAGAAAGGAATCACCGGGTGGCGAAATACACGCAGTGCTTGTGCCTCCCTGTCCAGCGCCACCAATGACCTCCGATCTTCGAAACTCTGCTTGATTGCAACCTGTACGACACAGCAACAGATTACCGAGCAGGGGGAGAAAACCATCGGCAAGGGCTAACACATGGTCCTTGGCTCCCATAATGGAACCAACATCACCAGCCCTTTGTAGTCCCCTATGTTCTCTTGATGTTGTTGTTGTTTTTCTCTTCCATTCGATGTAGGCATGTGCACTTTCAGAAAAAAGAAAAAAAACCCGCTGCGCAGTATGACATTCATGCAAATTGGAGCATAACTAATCTAGCAGCATGCATTTCACTGTTTGTGGGACATGTAATTGCAGGTGACGGGACCTGCTCGTAGTAAACTTCCTACGCTACTGCATGCCCCGGTTGGCTTTGAATTATGATTTGAGCCCCCGGAAATATTATTATGATGATCCTCGCTGCGAAAACGCCACGTTTGTCATTGCATTTCATTGAATATTTCTTTTCTTAAACAGTGTCAGCTTGAAAATCGATTCTGGAAACACACAATCTAAAACCTGAACAAATTGTCATGTTGCGTGGTGATGTCTGCGGCATTCATACTTTTCGTAGTTATTATTAAACCTTTATCTCCACGTAGATTATTTGTATATCTTCGCAGTGTTGAGAAAATCGCATAATAATATTAAAGGTGAGCTTCGGGGTGGTGAGAATTGTAAATGCAGTGTATCAAAAAGGAATCTCTCTGAATGATGGGGAATTGTCTTGGGTCTTCTTCGTAAGGGTCTTCGTAAGAGAGGTTAAGATGCACATTATTTCCGAGGTGATGCTAAAGTTCAGCTCCCTTATTTGATAATTTTTTTTTAACGATAGAAATATTAACGATACTTCTCCAGACGTTTAGTTGTTCTGAACAACATCGTCAGTGAATAAAGACAGACGAAGACTCCACTGACGATGTTGTTCAGAACAATGAAACGCCTGGAGAAGTATCGTAAATATTTCTTTCGTCTCTTTCCCTCAAATCAGTTACTATTTCTATCGTTATTAATTCTTTTTATCAAATATACCACTCTTTGGTCTAGAAAGAATACTTTTTTGATATTACAATGAATAATCAACGGCTTGTCCACCAACTCTTTCCCTTATTTGGCTGGCGCTTCGAAAAACAACGCGAATGACCGGCAGTTCACGTCGAAATTTGGAGTTTTACGCCAAATTTGACGTGAAATTGCGGGTGGCGTCGGAGATAACATGCATCGTAACAATTTTAAAGACGAGCACCAAGCAAACGCGCACTATGGGGCTGGTTACTCACTTTCTGAGCATACATGTACAAATCAAGCACAAAATCTTCACGCTCCTTCTCAACTAAATGCGGATACTTTTACCGCTGGTTTTCTTACCTGCGTGGAGGTACTGGCGTGAAGTCCGCGATAGACTTTGGAAGTCTCTCCGTCGCCGAGAAGTTCGTGTATGTGAAACTCATCTCCAATGGTCCTTTGAATGGGATATAACACTTCTCCACGAAAGTATCCCCCATAGAAAAGTGATATATGAGAATCCTCTTGGTGCTCCATCGCGTGTGGTAGATCACTTTTGATCTGCGGAGGAGAGGATGAAACAGATAAGTATGATATTGCACTGGTTGAACTTCTTTCAACACCGCTAACTGACCGCTTCGAAAATTCACAATCTCTTTCGTGTAAATTCTATCTCATATCTCCTTGCCTGAAATTCATAGGCTGTGCATATAATGCCCATTTTGCAGTGTCTAGAGTCAGTTACTTGAAGTACACTTTTGGTGAAATCCGACCAAGAGCGCATATTTGGCGAACTAAAATATTCAACGGCCATTGATCCTCACGTTGTGGCACGTATGCAGCTAGACAGACGCATGTAGAAATACAATGAGGTAATCATGTGTGAGTTTTCTCTTCTTTAGTTCTGTTCTGTTTTTTTTTCTCCCCTTCCTCAATGCCCTAATGATGCCCAATGGGCGAAATACTGGCAAAATTATCTATTTGGTGCAGCTGAGAGCCTGTTGCCGGAATGGCGGTACTTTCAAGTGTACCCATAACTAGTTCTAGTTGGATTTCTCACACACCAAAGCCACAACCAAAGGCACTGGGCTTCTTCGCCGTTACACAGACACTCGCGTTCAAAACAAAACACACTAATCAGACTGCAAAACTAAAACTATCATTCACCATACAAGCATGTCTACACTACTTCTATAATCCAGTCCGCGGGTCGAAAGTGGCGCTTTGCTGATGCCCAAGGTAACAAGTCGTCTGCTACTTCGCGGCGAGGCAGTGATGATCAATCCTGAACTGTCATGCTAACAAACCAACATACACAACGCTGCAGCAACGACGACTAAATCCCAACGGCCCTGTACTCACTCCACGATCGAAACTAGCGCACCCGCTCTATCCCGCTCAGCCCCCAACTGGTTTTTCGGCATTTAATTAATGTTCGAAAAAGTGCTGGAAATGCGTTAGGATATCAAGCGAGCACATTATCACTCCATGTCTTGTTTTATTGATCAGAGAAGAGTGCAATAGGTGCTTCTTTCTTTTCTAGTCATATACTATAAAACCGAAAAGTCTAGCGACCAAAATGTTTAACGTTTTTGTAATTTTGGCATGATAACGTGCAGACAATTTAACGATGGCTACCTGGCCACAGAATTTTCAATGGGTGAAAGCTACTAAATGCCTTTTTCTACATTATCATTATTAACAGTATAGCGGTCAGGAAAACAGAAATGATTCAAAGCTAAAAGCAGGCAAAAGCCACCTTGCATGTGGTAAAAAGTAAAAAGTAAATTATCGTGTCCGTTCCCGAAGGGAACTCACGACGCCCGCTAACACCCGGTAAATCCTAGCGGCAGATGCAGCGCCTAACGGTGGGGGTGAGTGGATAAGTCTTACAACCACTGGCACAAGTGCCGAGAACGACCCCATTAGCTGCATCCATGTACCCCTTGTGCCTGGCCACAAGTTCCCAGTTGACTGTGAGTAGCAGCACGGCTGGAAAAACCGCTCCCGGGCAGGACTTGAACCAGGTACCTCTCGTATCTCAATCATGGTCTTTGACCAACCCACTGTGCCTGTCTGGTTGCATGTGGTAGTTACTGCAATGTAAGGGCAAACCATTCACTCACCTCTCAAGGGTGTTCTTCGTACAGGAACAGGTATGGTATCCAGGAATGATATTCTTCACAGAGTGTGCCTGCAATTCATGATTTTATAGGAAAAGTCAGATTACAAACATTAGGCAAACAGGGAGTAACGGTGCTAGCAGCCTAGCACCTACATGAGCGTGCAAAACGAATAATCTGACTGCCCGGCAGGTGATGCCATGTCGGAAACCAGTCTTCATCAAGCAGAATATAAACCTGCCAAAACATGGGTGGTCTTATCCAATGTCCACTAACCTTTCAGAGCTAAAAGAAGAAACTCGAACGGATGGAGCAATCGCAGTCTAGTCTATTCAAATCCCAACACACACATTGTAGCTTAGTCCTTCCCGCATCTTTCAGAGCCAGCGTACCTTCAAGTTTCAAGTTTGTATGTCAGTTGTACCTACGGTATCTGACCTCTAATAGTACATACACGTCGTGGATGCTTCGCCTGATCAAGTGTTTCCCACTTGCGAGCGGTTGCGTCGGCTCATTTAGCTCTTCAGTTTAGTTTCAGTTTTGCTTTATTTACGGATTCCCCAGAGGTAAATAGGCACCTATCTTGGGAGTCTCACCACACATATAACATAATTAATATTACAATGGAAGCGGTCCTCACCAAGAAAACACAATCCGTTGCTACTCCGAGTTTCTTGAGTTTTTCAATCGTCAGGCAACTTTTTTTGAAAAGTAAAACTCAAGAAACTCGGAGTAGCAACGGATTGTGTTTTCTTGGTGAGGACCGCTTCCATTGTGTACTAGCTCCAGTGCACCCCAGCGCTGTTGAGCCCTCTTTGCGGTGGACGGGACCACTTCCCCCTACATAATTAATATTATGTATTGAGTGCAAAAAAACTCGAAATCTGAGATTTTTTGAAGTCAAAGGAGAGGAAGAACATCAATAATTGATTGAGAACGAGGGGTGTTAATAGAACACTGGAAAGGCGCTAAAACAAAATAGCTGCAGTAGCGGATTTAGACTATAATGTTCAACACGTGAAACTACGTAGCTCTTCCAAGGTATCATCCGTAATCGCTTGAGCAGATAGATAATTCAAAAGCTTAGATTATTATCTTTCGTATATTTTACCCAATAGCTGCCCCAGTACTCTCAATCAGAATTTCTTCTAGATTAAACACAAATGCTCGTGCTTGCGGCCAGGATACAACTCCTTCCCTATTACCTACTTCACATACATTATTGCATACGCATTGCGCTCAATCTCTGGTGCCTGATGATTGAAAGCTCTTCCTCCCCATTGTCGTAAGGGACAATCTTTTGCCATTTGTGCTCACTGTACGTGCATGCAGCTTTGCGCAGGGTTTCCTGTAATATTTCCATGGCTGCTGGGACTCCAACAGCCAAACAATAATAATCCTCTAGTGCTACTTCCTACTAGATGTCGTATCGAAAGCCCCACCAATGTCCAGAATATTGTAACATGGATGCATCGGTGCAAATTGAAATACAGATGACTGTCGTTGACCCGCAATGATGAATTTTTCCGTGTTGTTGATGAGAATGAAAATCTGATTGCAGACTATAGTGAAAAATGTTGCACGGTACCACGCTGAAGAGTAAATGTACATGTACTGGTTGATGCGATGATGGCCGATGAAATCCGACCAGTAGCTCGATAAGATAACTGCATGTGTGTTTGAAATATGAGCAGAGCGTAATGAACTGACGTGAGCCATCCACCGTATAGCCAGAACGACAACCCTGTCGTATTTTATAGTATAATGTGTACTATAATATAAGCCTTATGCCAGTTTTACAGATCTACGAAATACCGTAGACCCTATTGTGTGCTATTTTATTTTCAATTTGGTAGTATTATTTAAATTTCGAATAGGGCAATCCCCACATGCCTAAGGCCTTTTACAGGGTGCACTACTACTGTTTTCCACTATGTCCACTAACATTTGGGCCCTGAAGGCATTACATACATGTACGAAAACCTGATCCTGACAAAGATCTAGCTAGTCATTAGTTCTACATTTCGACTGCATTTTTGAGGTTATTGGCGAGGTGGAGACGAAATTTGAAAATGTTTTTCAGTGAATCTCTGGAGAAGAGCCTTCTCTAGCCTCCTATAGTTATATTTTTACTTTTGGACGCAATTCGAAAGCGTTGTGTGAAAGGTCCGTGTTCTTTTTCCAAGGATCTTTCATAAAACGCTTTCATACTTTGACCAAAAGTAAAAATAAAACTGTAGGAAACTAGTGATGAATATTTTTCCAGGGATTTACCGAAAAACATTTTATAATTTCACCTCCACCTTGCCCATAAACTCAAAAGCAGTGAAAAAAGTCCCAGAAAAGTGGTACATGTATTGCCCCAAGTCACCAACCACGGCCACCTTAATAAAGTTAGTTGGTCAAATGCGCATGCATAGCACCCAATGGACGCCCAACCGGGTCTACGGGATTCTACGGGATTTCGTGGATCTGTACAACTAGTACTAAGCGCCAGAAGGTCTATTATGTATAATATAGGTACTAGGTAATTTGAACACGCTCCGACCGTGCATCGTGTGGTGGTGATGTGATACCATATCCCATAGTGCATGATCGTCACGAAAGAGGGATCTGTGTGTACGCTATTCTAGGCATCCTAGCACCAGTCCGCTAGTCGGAAGCCAAAGTGACACATACGCGAGAAATGGTCGGCTTCTTTCAGCGACACGGAAACAAGATCGCATCGAGGAATATCACAACACCATTCAGGTGAGGGTATCTCTTAAACATTTTTGCAGCACTAGTGTAGTTTTTTTTCAATGCTTTTACAGGCGCCGCACAACCAACCACAAGCCTTGAATACACGGGTTCAACTGGATCTGTAGGAATGTTGAAGGTGCGAAGTCATTGAGGGACGAGCATTGCCCGACGGCTACGGATCAAGGATTTCTGAAATATTTTTCAGCTTGTTTAGATATTATTGCCTGAAAATTATTTTTTATCGAAATTAGGATTCTATGGCCTCGCCACCCTTTCGAAGACCACTCGATTTAATGATTTTGTTCAAGACAAGAAAAATGGCTGATGCTTGTGGAAAAATGTGCTGCGCTTGCGTAGTTGTTCTTTCTGCCATCCGTTCTAACAAAAATGAAATGCCCTTTGTTTGGTCTTCTGCCTGGATCTTGCCACTTCAGAAATGCCAGGAGAGAGATTCGGTTCAGGTAATACCAAGAACTGGGAGAAGATCCAATGGTTGGGCAAAGATATAAACGATAGCAATGGTAAGAAGATCTACAGGATCGTCAAGGAAATCGGCAAAGGCAGCTATGGACAAGCCTTCGATGCCCAACATCATCTGACCGGCGCTCAGGTAAGGTGATAACGGTCGCCAGACGTTACTGAAGTAACGTCGTTTGAATAGCTATGGAAATATATGTACTTTTATATACTAAGTGATTTTTGGGAGGTGCGTGGAGGGGGGGGGGGAATGGAAGAAGCAAAAATATATTGATGACCATGATTAGGACCTCACCCAGAAGACGAAATTCCCCAGTAAAAGAATTTAAAACACTTCAATACAGAGGGTTCTTGTTAGCTGTCTAACGTCTACTATTAAAATCTAGCAGTTACCAAGTACTATTTTGTCCAGCAGCATTAATCTTTATTATAATTATAAATTGTTTTTCCATACAACTTAAATTGACCAACAACTCTTTGCTTGTGCAAGTGCATTGCAATTCGAGTCACTGGTGCGGATACTATTCATCACACTCTTCACGTAGCTGGTACCGAAGGCTATTCATCTACTTTTATGACATTTATACCTTTAAATTGCTGCCAGGTGGTGATCAAGAAAATGGAGAAGAGAAGGAACCCTGACGTGCTCGCTGAGTCGGAAGCCAAAGTGATCAGTCTCTTCCAACACGAGAACTTCCCGCGTGTGTTTGGATCCTACCAAAACACATATCACTGGTTACTGTCCCTTGAGAGAGTGCATGGAGGTGAGAAAGAACCAGCAAACATGCATTGCATTCCACTGCATTGCACTGCCTGCCTTGTCACAGCGTGCATATCGTCAAGTTTCTTTTTCTGTTTCTTTAAACAATAGTAAGGTTTTGCTTTTTTCGTTTGTTGTTGTGCTAGGGCAGTGATATCATGTTCTGTGGCTGGTCTGCGACTGCCCCAACAAAAGCGTTATCGGCGCCTTGGCATGTCTACACGATATAGCAGCTAGCAAAATACTTACTAAGACAAGGCATTGGCAAAGAGGTGGGCATCTCTGACGTTTGAGGTCGCCTGGCGGAATCACTTGGCACTGGGCTGGAAAATGATGAATTAGACAAAGAGGCCAGAACAGGCGATGGGAGTCCATAAACAGAATTTGGAAAAAAAAGTTTAGTAGGTTGTATTAAGATGCTTATCAGTGAATATGGGGTAAGATGGGTATCAGTGAATATGGGGTAAGATGGGTATCAGTGAATATGGGGTAAGATGGGTATCAGTGAATATGGGGTAAGATGGGTATCAGTGAATATGGGGTAAGATGGGTATCAGTTAATATGGGGTAAGATGGGTATCAGTGAATATGGGGTAAGATGGGTATCAGTGAATATGGGGTAAGATGGGTATCAGTGAATATGGGGTAAGAGTCCAACACCATCCTGTACTAGTATACAGTCTGTGAATTGTAGGCTTTGGCACGGACGAGATAAGTATGAGGGGACTGTGACCCAGTTACCACACCTGGAAAAGTATTTCCACGCATTCCTAATAATAATACTTTTTTGGGAGACGGATCAGGTCTTAAAATGGAGCCGTAATCGTTCCTCGTGGGAGTTCATCCGTACTTGTGCGCAATAATCATCCAGATGACAGAGGAGCGGGAATTTGTGTTGTATTAATTATTGTATCTAAATGTTCGTATTTCCGTTGCGCCCACGGTAGGTGCAAAACCTGTCATAGGTTGATGGCAGGATATCTCCAAAACTAATGTTCTCTGACCGAAGACAACCTCAGAACATTGACAGTCTGTGGTTGCTGTTGTGTCGCTATGACCTTTGCTTGTGCCAATTTCAATACAAGGCTCAGTTGGCAAGAAAACACGAGCCGTCAGATGCAAAAAGGTACCTTATGACGTTTTGCACGCAGTTGAGAAAATCGCGTTCGAAAAAGTATTTTCTGTGAATATGTCATCGATAGTCCGGATAGTTTCCAATGGTAACTCTGTGATGAATTGAGATTTTTGGACCTGGTTTTTTTGTATGACACTCTCCTGACCAGGTAGTATCTGAAAAAAATACATTATTTTGTTACAAAGCAGGAAATTGTCACAACATAAGCTATTTTTCATGATGAGAAGGCCTAGAAAATGGACAGAACATTCTGAGGAGAAATACAACTGTTCCAAATTATTAATATTATTTATTATATTTTTAATAGGTAACATAGCTATTCCTTATTGTAGGTTTTGTATCTTGTATTCGCGTTCACGTTTGTCACAACAGAAACGTCTTGTGACTACATAGTCAATCGGGGACGACCCTTGACCGAGCCACACACTGTGATGTTTATTCTTCAGCTCGTAGATGCCATCCAACATCTGAATTCCAAGGGCGTTATGCACAGGTATGCACCGTGTGTTCTACAATAATTTTACATAATTATGTCTATATCCGGACTCGAGTAAGTGGACTTTGCCGGCATCAAGTCATGATCGAATCATGAAATTGACATCTCCTTGCCCCCCCCCCCTCCTCCCAGTTTATTTGAATGAAAACAACGTCAACAGCGCTCATAGCTGGATCCCTGGGATGTTATGCACTAACCAATCGGCACGTCGTCCCTACGTCCCCTGTGTCTTGTTTTGTGTTTGTCTCCACATGTCTCTTTGTAGGGCTGTGTTCCCAATGAAAAAATCCAACTTAACCTTTAGCGATTTCTACAATGATTCTGTAGCCGATCTTGGGATTTACGCGACATGCTCTTCGGCTTGTACTACGTTAAACAAACTGATGAATGTGGATTTCTTTGAATCGGTTGTACTGCAGAGATATACACTTGGGAAACGTGATGATTGATAACACACAGACAGTCAAGTTGATTGGTAAGTTGTCGAATCTTAGAACATTAACCAAACGAAGAAATTGATTATCTTTCAAAAAAAAAAAGGAAATAAGTCACTACTAGTACTTTGATGGCATAGGCTACACCCGTTGCTAGGCTACACCTGTTGCTAGGCTACACCTGTTGCTAGGCTACACCAGTTGGTGTGTGTCATTGTTCGAGGTTCCAACAGGATACACTTGTGCAATATATTTTTTTACTTTGAAATTCTTAGAACCTACAGGCTCAAGATCAGGTCATTCTCCTTGGTCATTTGATGGTCAGTTCGCGCTTGACACTAGCTGTTCTGCGGCAGATCTACCGCCATCAGAGAACAATGAGCACAACGCTGTTTCTGTATTTAAATTATTGACGATGTCTATATCCATTATGCAATCTTTTCGGTGGTGCTACCGCTCCATTCCCCAACCATGACCAATTGAATGAGGTTCATTCCAAATCCCACAGGAACTACGTTCTGTGGACATTGTGTAGCATACAATCTAGCTGAAAGTTCTATACTTGACCGACTTGCTAGCCCTGTATACGTAACTATTTTGTGTTCTGCTAGACTTTGGAAGAGCTGCCAAGATTCTTCCCGGTGGAAATCCATCCGGATCCATGTTCAATGGTCAAGGGGCACCCGAAATGTTTCTCTCCGTTAGGCATTCAAAGGAGGTTGACATCTTTGGAATGTAAGTCGCCCTTTTTTATCTTTTTATTTATTTTTTATTTAATACCACAGCCTTACCAAGCGACATATAGAGACAGACACAAAAGAAGACACAAGGGATATTGAAAGAAGATGCATCGTTACATTCACCATCTCCTTCTGTTTTCTCCGGGCGCTGCTAGTATGCAGAATGCCTTACCATGCGCTGTTACAAGGCTACATGTACAGATATTGGTAGTTTGTTTCTTGCCACAGCAGTTTTATAACGTTCAAGAACCTTGAGCAATGAGCTGTCACCGTAATGCATGCAGCCAACTTTGGCGGGAGCCATCAGGCCGGTTTCGTCGAAGAATCTCAGGAATATTCTTCTTGACGTAGCTTTTAGCACACTGTAGTTCACCGTACATTTGATGGAGAGTTCATTTCTTTTTTTCTTTCTTTTAACGAGTTAACAATCAAACGAGGAATAGCCCAATAACATAAAGGCGGAAAATAAATAAACGGCAGAAAGAAAACATTACAAAGGGTAGCAAGTGAGGAAAAAATGTCAAAAATGCCTGCTTCAGCAACCACTAGCTCAGCAGAAATAAGCAGGTGCTGCGGGAGAGAAAGTGCTCAGAGTTAATTATCAGTACGCCACTATTATGCGTACAGGAAGTTGGACGCACCTGCTTACCCCTGAACAAGTTTAAAACTCACAACTATTTTTTACGACTGTAGACGAAAGGTATGATAGTGAATGAAAAACGTAAAATGTTTGGCACCTATGAAATCAGGGGATGTCCCACGTCTGGTAAAAAAATCAATGAGGAGCTAAATACAGTCAAACTTCTTTAGGACGAACACCAAAGGACTGATGATATTTGTTTGCAATAACGGAATCTTTCTTATCCGTATGGTTACCCAGTGAATACACATTGACTTATCCAATGGAGTTGCGAATACTAGTTCTTCTTAAGCAAACATTTGTCTTATCAGTGTTCTTCCTAACGAGGTTTCCCTGTACATGTGCGTGTTGCCTGATGATTGCGAGAGCATGAAACTTCAAGTCGCAGCAAACAAGCCTTGATTGTCCTTGTTGTTCTGTTTTGTACGTGTCGATAATAATACTACACGGCATGGCAAGTTAAGCAGTCAGTGTTGCGAAATGGATGCCTCAGCCGAAAAGTACAAGAGCATAAGATGGGACAGGGGTGCAAGCAGAGTGGAGAGAGCGACTTTCACGCACACACATCCTCAGACCAAGTGCGTGCAACTTCCTGTACGCATTATAGTACGGGGCAGAGAATGAATTTTGCATGAAATGTACGGTGTTACTAAAAGCTATGCATTTCAAAATTGTGTATAGTTTTCCCCTCGCGTAATATTATACCGGTACATGTACCGGGTAATATACGATTTCCTTTTTGTCAACAGCTGGCGGTACCCTATGAAAAGTAGATTAAAAACCGAAGATTGAAGTCATTATAAGGTATCGAAAAGGGGCTCTTGAAGCCCCTAAGTAGCTTCACAAGCTATAACTGCAATGAGAATGAAGCTCTTAATAAGAAGCGCAGAATTTCAGTTGCTTCTATTCTCGTCTTTGTTATCCTCAGTGGTGCTGAGTGACCAGAAGAAAATATTCATCAAGCCGTACAGGGTTACATATTTTCCTCTTCTGGTTCCCTTGGTTTGCATTTGTATTGCATTTTCATCCATTGTGATTCTTTCACGCGTAAAAGAGGCTTCCGTACATCACACCACATCAATTCTCTCAGCACACAAACCACAAAACTACCCAATATAAGTGTTCATAATCTTCATAATTATGCATAATGCAAGCGACATAATGCATGCTACCTCGTTCTAAAATAGAGAGTGAATGGCAGAGAGGGCCTTCTGGCTTGTTTGTGCCCTTCAGGTTAGCCCTCGGGTCTACGGCCCACAGGCTAACCTGTCGGGCACTAACAAGCCAAAACGGTTCTCTCTGCCATGCACTGAACTATAATAAGTCTTCGGCTAGAAATTCCTAATCGCTCAATTACTTACATTGAAGATTGAGTCTCTCAGATGTAATGCTCTATCTTGTTATGAGCACAAAACGTACTAATGATGCCTAATCCGAATATATTGCGACGAACTTTACATTTGTTCCCTGTGGCTCCAGTGGATTTATCGCCTACATCTTGCTGACGGAATGGCCTCCATTTGATTTGCACCCAAAAACACGGGATATTGCAAGGAAAAACATGCAGGATGGTCCGAAAACACAGATACCACCATGGAATGCGCTTTCCTCGGGTAAGCTGCTCAAATGGAATGTAAATGTTTGATCAAATCTCACACACATGGTACCGTGTGGAACATGCTCTCCCACGTTTAACCACAGGACACCCTTACTACTCAGCCTGCTAGTCTTGGAAAACTCGGCGTCCTAAAACTGAGCAAGTTCGTTGCAGCTGAGGATACTATGACACGCATTGAACACATCACCGACTTCTGCGGCTATGTTTTGCCTTAACGATCATCATAATTATTATTACCGTAGCTATGCAAAAGACATTACTTCAGTAACGTCGGGCGCCAGCCGGGGTCCACACAGCTTGAATTCCGTTTGTTTGTTTCTTTCTTTCTTTGTGCCTGACAACGTCGGCATGTGGCGCTATCCCGTATATGTCCCTTACCGTACCATCAAAGAAAGGTGCCACCTTATATTATATTATAAGTAGAGCTTTCAAATGAACAAATTATAACACCGCTATGCTTTTTTTACCTAGATCATCAAGGTTGTATATAGTGTCGTAATATCGCATTAACGCTCGTATGTTATTGGGTTTTAGGAAGGGCTGAGGCTTGGGGCAGAACGGTATTCATTGTTATTACCTGACGATGGCCAAATGCCTAAACGTTGTAAAAATAACGGAACTGGTTCGGATGTGCAGCGCTATGGGAATGGGTGTGTCCACCAGAATTCCTTTCAGGTGTTTTTGGGTGTGCTGCTAATGGGCCGGGAATGTCTGACATGTAGAGCAGAAGGCGTCGGCAGGAGTGCCTACACAGAGAGTAGAAGATGCCGCCTCGAGTCACCGTGCCTGCGAAAGGCTATGCCAACAACAAGAAATAACTGGGCAAGCATCATGTCGTTTGGAAACTCGCCAACTTCGTGAAAAGATCCGTCGACAGCAACAGACCACTGAAAAGGCATCCAGTCGGCAGGAGAAAAGATGTGATCATACTCTAACGTGTTCGGTGTGCGGTGATAGCGGTCCGTAGGCATATAGGGCCGTCGCATTATCGAGCCAATGTTTTTGGGTGTGCTGCTAATGGGACGGGAATGTAAGGATCGGGATTATTGCAGTGTTTTAATTGGCGCCTTTGTTTTATAAATAGAATGAGGGGATGATTAACACAGGACTATAAGGAAGAGCAAAATAACAGCTAGGGTGACAGCGTTGAAGCTATGGGCAGACGGTGTCGCCAGGAGTGCCTACACAGAGATTACAAGATGGGAAAAGAGAGGTCCCGCTGCCTCGAGAGCCGCCATATTAAAACTGATCGGCTACATGTGTATGATTGTATAGCAAACACTTTTCCATCAGATCAGATCGAATAACATTCATGTGGAGCTAGACAAACAAGCATAGCGTACCACCCTGAGCTTTCAAGCTCTCTCGTTACGTCTCCACTAGCTCTCACACATGAAAATTCTGTGTGCTAAAATCGTAATATAGGTCATTTTTTATTGTTTTTTTTTACAAGATACACAATCCACCGGCAGGCACATGGGGATGCCATGGGGTGAGTGGGTGCTCGACGGGCTTGCCATGCTCAACGGACCAGCGGGCTCGGCATCTTCACATGGCAGGCGCCCCAATTTAGGGAAGAAAGCATACGCATGATTTGAAAAAGCACGGGAGAAAATGGAAGATTTAGAACGAAGGAGAGGATCTAATTTTGGAATCATAAAGCATGAAGTAACGAGTTACGTCAATTCAGAGCGCTTGCAACGAATTTTCTGTTGGATATTGACGTTGGTAAGTTGAGTTGAATACCTAAACTCGTTGTTTTTGTTTTGTGCGGTCCTGAATGTGTGCATGTGATCAATATCCAACTTACGGTCCTAGATGCTAAGGATTTGCTCCAAAAGCTTCTCGAATACTCACCTGTGAAACGTATCACCCTCGCCGGTATCCTTCAGCACCCGTTCATCACGAAGAACAGGGCAGCTGCACTGCGTATTCGTCCGCCGATCTCAAACGAAAAGAAACAACAGTACCTGAATAGCACGCCAAACGCAGACTTAATCAAAGGTGTCAAACTCTTCTTCCCAAGTATGAGCGACGAAGAAATCAGAAAAACGGTGGCAAAGTAAGTTAATTCTTTTTGACCTTTCCTTTTTCCAATAAAACTTTGAAGAAAGGGGGGGGGGGCCTTTCCACAAGTAATCGATACTGTATCCAAACTAGTTGTTAACTGATCAGAGCTGCAGGTTTCTTTAGGACTCCGCATGCAATCACAACGCTCTAAAGGCACTACCAGAATCATAATTTATTATATGTTTGGTGCCTGGCTAGAGCGCCAAATCGTAGACAGCTCTGCACAGTCCAGGTGCTCCTAGAACATCGCGAATCAATCCTTCATTACCTTCGTCGTACTTCATATTTGTGATCTTTACGTGGTCGTCCGTGCTACTCTACATTGTTGTTGTTTGGCTTTATTTAGAATGGAGATCCAAAACAGGCCTAAACCTAATGACAATAGTACATCATGGCTGTGTTTAAAAAATCGGATATCATGTTATTTGTACTCGAATCATTGCACTTCATGCAACTCTGAGTAATCGAATTCTAAAATCCAACGGCTAACCTCTTTGTTGATTGCCATAAAAAATCACCTTTGGGTTCACTGTGTTTGAATTTACAAGCATCAACTGAGAAGTGAATGAAAAGTTTTATTTCATGTCCCTTTATTGGATTTACTAAATTATCGCTTCTTTTTTAATTTTGCGCATTACCATTCTTTCTACAGCGCGGTGCCCGGAAGACCTTTGGAGATCTACAAGATTGCTGAGGCTCTCGCCCTCTACCGGATGAGGTGATGCGCCATACGGAATCCAATCGTACACAACAGCATCAAGGTCAAATTTCACATCGCCACCAAGTTCCGTTGCTGGTGCAGCTATGCTCTATCCGAGTGCTATTCAATAACTATGACTGTATATATTAGGTTCATAGAATGGGATTGACTATCACTCTATCTGCATATTAAGGGCGTCGGAATGTTATTTTGCCATCACAAGCCGGTTTTGTAAAACGCCTGATCGCCTAAGCAGAGTTCACAATGTATCAATGCGACGCTCAGTTGAAGAGCACTGGAACCCTTGCCAGGGATGATATTCATTCAACGTTGCATTTAAGAGTTAACTGTCCCTAGTTTGTAATATTGTTCACGTAAGCCTATTGTGCATCACGCACCCAATATTGTCCTGGCCACTCTGTGAAGATCTGTTCGTTTAGGATTATAAACACATACACACAAATTGTATTCAAAACGACTGTGTTCTTCTCTTCACTTTGATGATTATTGGTAGCGGTCAGGATCCTGTCTGATGACACGGCGAGCATTTTAGGTGCACTATAATTATCTCGTCACACTCCTCTTCATAGGCTGGCCAGAAATGCAAGCTGACTCAAGGGCCCTGTTGCCAGGGTTTGGGGGACTGGCTGTGGACCCTTTAGGAGGAAGTTATCGTGGGCTTATGCAGGGTACAATAGCGTTGTAAGCATTTGGACCGCTGGATACAAATTTAGAAAAATGATGAGAACATTTGGAAACGGGCAATGAAGTACGTAACTGTATTATTACCGCTATTTCAACAAACGGCCAGGAGACAATAATTTGATAACCGCCATCAATAAGACGAGCTGAACCCTAAGTGACATATTTTCAGGAACTGAGATCACAGTGGATAAAGGCAGATGGATTGATGCTGAATTCAATGCAAAAAATGCTTCAAAAAAATCTTGAGTAAAACTTGAGTTACGGGTCTTAGAAGATAGAGCATTTCCCCTGATATATCGCACATCACACGAAAACAGAGAATGTTTGAAGTGCGTTCTCTCAGTTTGAAGTGCGTGTAACTAAGGTCGAGTTTTGCGTGCGCTGGCTCATATGTGTACCTTATTCATGCAATGTAAAACGTGTTGTACGAAAACTTGTTTGAATCCATATTTTTCTCTGCGCCATTTCTTCATAATTATTTTCATCGTTTTATTCCACATCGTCTCCACCGTTTTATATTGCATGGATAAGGTACATAAATGTCGGTTCAGCTCGTCTTATTGATTGGATTATTGTTTGAAAGAATAAGAGCCAATGAAGTGCAAGTCACGCTATAATGTCCACTGACACCACCAGTTACTATGTTGAATAAGCCTCTTATACGGGCAATTACAGAACATGATATCACTGGCCTGACGCAACAACTGAAGAAAAGGCAAAACAAAACACTTTACACCACCAGTCACTAAACAATACGCTCATACACTCAACTTTGCTTATAGCGACAATCAGTGGGGCGTCAAAAAGGTGTCCTCATTTGAGAAGTGTCGTTATACCCGAAGCTTCATTATATGAATTACAGTGGGATAGGACTTTGCTCTGCGCATGGAATTTCTGTCGTTATTCGCGAATTGTCGTTATATCCGCAGTCGATATTAGCCAAGTTGACTGTATTATGAACATGCCGTAACAGTAATAGAGAGGTTTTGCATTCCGAATTTCGGAATTATTTTCGGAATGTGGCGGCAGCAGTCGAAAAAGTAGTCGAACTTTCGGAAGTGTGGTGGCGAAAGTGCATGGTTTTCCGAAAATGGATTTTCGGCTCTTTCATGTTTGGGAGTGCATATTTGAATACAAAAAAGTGTATTTTTCATGTTTGTGTTTTTGCTTTCTGCTGCTCTCGATTATTTGAAATTTTTTCCACGTACCGGGGTATGTAGTTTTGATTTTTGCTGCTCTCGCTGATTTCGCCATGTTGACTAATCTTCTCACACTCCATCACAATCTATCTTTCTTTGCCATGGAGCCTGCTGACCGTACAAGACAGTAGTTCGCCAACCTCGTCTTCAGCTGTTGGATCACTTGGTCCACCATCAGTCCGTCCTCGTCTTCGAACCGCACCCAAATTCAGTTTGACCTGCACATGGATTTGATCCAGCTCAACCCCTTCGACGCTCTCCATTTTGTTTTGCATGGCAACCCTTGGAAACGAAGTCGAATCAGATTTTCGGAATGCAAAACACTGAAAATGCCGTTTTTCGGCACGCGCTTTTTTCGGAAAAGCACAGTCGAAAATCATTCCGAAATTCGGAATGCAAAACCTCTCTATTGTTTAGCAACTGGTGGTGTTAGTGACATTACAGCGTAACTTGTAATTCCTTGGCCTTTTTCTTTCCAATAAATGTCTTGGAGAGGTGATGGGCTCCGCCAAGGTCAAGTCGATAGTCACAGCCCTATGAAACGTCTATGTGTCGTGGGCAGAGAATTAGTTGTATGCTGCAGCCTTATGACACGCATGAAGCCCCTACGACCAGAATGGTTATGGGTTACACATATATATATACATACATACATACATACATACATACATTTAATATCATCCATCAGCACTTGACCGAATACCAGAGATTGGCAACCACCGGGCTAGCATCCAGCAGCCAAAGGTGGGGTCCTACATCATATGGATTATTTTAAGATACGATGCCAGGTAAACAATAGAGAGAAACACACAACACTTTTTAATTATCGATCAGAGGGAACACAACAGGGTGTGGAGGAAAATAGGACAGAAAGAACTCCACGACCCACCCCAGAGCATTCCAAGTCAAGGACCTTACGCAGGATAGCTTCCAAACGAAGGCGGGGGGGGGGGGGGGGGTGGCATCTGTTTGTCATTCAGACACATACACGTGGCAGCAGCTTGTGAGACCGATGGTGTCAAGGCATCCTGGCGACTGCTTGGAAACAGTGCCCAAAGTTTCAACTAACACAGAGACAATCTTATTCTAACTGGCCATAACCGATCGATTTCGCCAGCAAGAATTTGATACCGGTGCTTGGCACATTTCTCAACTTCTTTTTCAGCACTGCGTGGATCACCAGGTACAGTAATATCCACAATCAGGACCAGCGCAGCGCCCCCTACTCATTGTCCGATTTGTCATGCCAGTCGACGAAAATGCAACCGATAGTCAGGACAGTACTAGAGGGTTCATAAAGGCACATCAGTTTTTGTCGGGGGTGAAGTCAGGTGTTCGCTCCGTAGATATTCTCTACGTTTCATTTCCCATTGCAAGACAGTTATTTTGAAAAGGGAAACGTTTTTTACAAGAACGTCGAGACCAGAATGCTGTATGATAGAGGTGGCTGCAGACGCAACTGTGGTGGTGAAACTGTAGCATCTCTGCGGACCTGAGGTCTCGGCTTCAGCGACACCTCAATGTTACGTTGTAACTGTTTTCCTTACCCTCCTCCTACTCTTGTGACCTGTTTAGAACCCCGTATACATGCACACGTTTGAAATTTGTTTCCACCAAGAAAAAGAGATAATGCACTGCGGATTACATCTAGGGTCGGCAGAAGGAGCTCAAAAGAAATTAAAGAGCGGCATAGAGGAATGTAGTGGGCAGTAGGCGTTTTCGATGTAGCTACCTATTGTGTTTCGGCGCGAATGAGCGAATCACACTCGGGACCAGTGCAATTGTGTGCGGTCCGGAGGGTGGACTGTGGTTCCAATCAAAATCGAGGATGCCTAGCATGGCTACATGCTCAATCTCACGTTGCCCACTTTCAGATCGAAGCATGTCTAGAACGCATCACTGGACAGATCGAAGTGGTACCAGCAACACTCGATTCATCGCTCGAAACCTCTAGGCTGTATGGCAGGCAGGTGAAGTAGTTGTAGCTATAAACGGAACGGTTATCAGTGTATACACACATGTACAGATGGAATGGGTACGGCTCGAACATACGCTAGAGGCCAGACAATAACAGCATTGCTGTCGCGTGATTTGTCCCCATTTGCCTGAACGTCATTGTCAACACGGCGGAATAGTCGTAAACGGGATTGTGGCGACAAAAGGGACACTGAAACATCCAATAGTTTCCAATTGATTTAGGTAAGTGCTATGCATATCTTCAAAGGTATTGGTTTCCCGTGGCAATACATTAGATAGAAAAATTCGAATAAAATACGATCAGGAATTAGTGCTAGAGATTTCACCGACAGTCGTGCGAAAATCGGTTCTTCTTATCATTTGAGCTCTCACATTTCCCGTCCAGTTGGCTTGATACTTGACTGACTCAAGAATGGCATCATACGAGAAGTGTGCCTGCTCAACACAGTCATAGTGTTTCAAGGCATTCACCTCTCATCAGTTGAGCTTCAGTTGCTAAGAATGACCATGCCGGACAGTAACCCAATTTTTGGCGCTCGGCAGGGTCTAATCAGCAGCTGGGATAAAACTAGCAGGGTTGATCCGTTTATAGGCCACACTGGTATCTGATGTTCTCGATGTGTTTGTCGCGCCGTTAACGGAACTTCTCTGCACTTTTGTATTCCCGACTTAAGTTTTTTTAAACTGGCCTGAAGTGGTGAACTCAAGCAAAGGTTTCTTCAGCCTACTCGCGCTCAATGCATGAGGGGTGAATTCACCAAAACACTCGAGATTGGGCATGGTTAAATTCTGACAGGTTCCCTAGTGGACTGTTGGATGAACTGTGTTTTGGATTGCAATAATTTAGTCAGTCAATTTATATTCAAACTGGCGGAAAAGTGCCAGCTAGAGTGTGGCGTGGAACCCAAATTCCTTCATTGTTTCACATATTAATTTCATTATTAACATCGGAACAACACGATGAAATTCTCCGTGAAATACAAATTTACCATTGCAATTTGTGCTATCTCACAGTGGACATACTTCAAAAAGTAGTTTTATGCGCTCCCCATGATATCAAGCGAATGGCTGAGCGCCTTCTTGAGTGCTGTGAGTTGCCAGTATTATGCAGATATTGATCGATCGAAGAAAGATGGGTTTG